GGGGGGGGGGCGGGCAGAGGTCTGGTCTTCGGGAGTGTAAGCTGCACTCTTGCCTTGCCGGTCACCACGCAGCCTCCTCTGGGGACAGTGACTTGGGGAGCAGCACTTGTAGTGTCCCCATGAGCACATCATGTCCTTCCATTAGCCCTGCTCCCCTCCGGGACCCCCAAACCAGCACACCCCCTAGCCCACCCACTTCCTGCTGTCCCCCTCTGGCCACCATAGTCCACCCTTCCCCAGCAGCTGAGGGATCTTTCTAGAGAGCCAATTGGCCACGCGCTTTCCTGCTTGACCTGTGCAACACTTGGAATAAAGTCCAGGCCCCTTGTCACGCCTCCTGGCCCTTATCACCCCTGCCACTCCCTGACCTCACCCTCCCCACGCACCCCCCCTTCCCCTTCTGGCCTCAGAGCCTCTGACCTACTGGTCCCCTGAACTCAGCCACTCCTCCAGGACCCCAGACAGGCCCCACCCATGGCCAGCCACGCAGTCGTTGATGGCTCCTTCCTGCCGGTTCCTCAGGCCACAAGCCCGGGGTGCCCCTGTCAGCCTGTCCTCTCGATGCCCACACGCAGTCCAGCAGAAAACCGGCCAGAGCCACCACCTGGTATGAGCCAGGATTTCTACAGGAACCCTCTAACCGCGCCTCCGCGGCCGCTTTGCCACCTACAATCCATTCGCAACACAAAATCTGTAACAGCGGGGGTGAGGGTGTGCCACACCTGCCCAAAGCCCTCCTCTGCACCCCCACCTGACGCATGAGGAAAGCAGGGTCCTTATGACGGGCCATCCACCCCTCCCTCCAGTCGGTGTCTTTCCTACCTGTCCTCCTCCTACAACCACCCCTCAGACAGGCTCATGTTCCTGCCTCAGGACCTTTGCATTCACTCTTTTCTCTGCCTAGGCCGATTTTCTAGCCTCCCTTGCAGGTGCGGAGGGAGGGGGGCGTGTGACTGAGTTCTGGCTGATGGAGGTGGTATGTATCTAACCATCTTCCCTGCCTGCTGGCCGCACGCACGGGACACTGCAGGGCTAGGCTGACCAGGAACGGCTGTGTTGGTCTCTGGACGAGGGGGAGGTTAACGTGCACTGGGCTCAGTTGCTGGGACTTGGGGATGTTTGTCACAGCAGCTAGCTGGCGTTCCTCTTCCATTGCATGTAGGCAAGCAGAGGCAAAATTGCACCTGTGACGGCAGTCCAAGGGGACACGCAGTGCCACTCATTCGGTGGTAAAAGAAGGGCCCTGTCTTGGTTCAGAAGGCAGGAGGGGCCGTCCCTGTGGAGGGAGCGTGACAGCTGAGACCTGAAGGATAAGCACAGCTGATGTGGTCGGAGGGCAGGAAAGAATTTCCCAGGCACAGGGAATGGTGCGTGCAAAGGCCCTGAGGCGGGAATGAAGGTCTAAGGACTACAGAAAGGTGAGTGTAACTCCCACAGAGGAACTGGGGAGGGAGCAGGGCCAGCCAGGCTCCCTCCTCCAGCCCATCAATTTTCACGACCACTTTACCTTTGAATAGAACCACTCTTTATTTTTTATTTAAAAGAACTTTTTTGAGTTTATTTATTTTGAGAGAGCAGGGGAGGGGCAGAGGGCGAGAGGGAGAGAATCCCAAGCAGGCTCCACGATGTCAGCACAGAGCCGGATGCGGGGCTCGAACTCATCAGCTGTGAGATCATGACCTGAGCTGAAGTCGGACACTTATCTGAACCACCAGGTGTCCCTACAGCACCCTTTAAAAGCGGTCCGGGGGCACCTGGGTGGCTCAGTTGGTTGAGCATCGCACTTCGGCTCAGGTCAGGATCTCGAAGTTCGTGAGTTCCAGCCCCACACTGGGATGGCTGCTGTCAGCACAGAGCCCACTTTGGATCCTCTGTCCCCTCTCTCTGCCCCTCCCCAGCGTGTGCTGTCTCTTTCTCTCTCTCTCTCAAAAATAAAGATTAAAAAAAAAAATAGATAAAGTAGGCTGAGCATACCTATCCTGCAGCCCAAGAAACTGAGGTTCCACAAGAAAAGGAGGAACCCCCTGTTCAGCCGGGAAGACCAGGCCCCGACATGGGGTGAGGACCCGAGGAGTCTGGGTCAGCACAGGCCGGCATCCCGCCCGAGTGGCCGCCCTGGTCAGAGGCAGGACTTCCAGGCCAGTCGGTCTTGATTCCCCCACCTCCTGCTTCCAGCACATTCTGCTTCTCTCAGTGATGGTGGGGGACCCACCCTGGGAGGACGAGGAGGGACAGGGCCAGAGGCATCACTAATCTCAATCCAGAAGCCAACTCTAGCTTGTGTGTCCACTTAGCTTCTGGAGGACGTGTGGGCCACAGGGCCCTGGGGAGGGTCGCAGCGGCGGGGCGCTCTAGACCCGTCACCTGGATTCAGCCCCCAAGAAACCGATTTGACCAGGACTGATGGGCCAAGCCGGAACAGAGTCGGGGTCACTCGCCCAAACACAGCAGGCCTGAGCCTCTGAGGCAGAGGGGGAGAAGCCGGGCAAGAGGGAATGGGGGTGGGAGGCAAGAGAACAAAGGGAGGCCCTGGCCCTGCAGCTTTCCCTGCAGGACTTCTCAGAGCCTTTATGTCCTGCAGTACCCCAGGACTCCCAAGGGAGCGGCCACGCTGCACAGGGGTTCCCAAGCCGACCTACCCACAGAACCCCTGCTGCAGGAACGTCTCACTCACAGAAGCGGGCGCCCCGACTTCCTCAGGAAACACGGAGTGAGATGGGCGGGCCAAGGCCGGGCTGGAGTTCTCGCTCAGACACTGGTTTGCCCTGGGACCCTATGGGATCTCTTCAGGGTCACACAGGGCCTCTCATCCCTGGGTGTTTAGGGAGGAAGGGGCCAGGGGTGCCCCGTGGAAATAGGGCTCCCTGCCTGGGGCCACGCAATCATGGCAGTAGGAGACGCACCCTCGTGGGGGAGAGGTGGCCAGAGCGCCCCCCCCCCCCCGGAGTGGACGGAAGCCCCCTCACGTACCACCTGCACAGAGAGGACAGCTGGGGGGGGGTCATACTGGCTTCGCAGAACAGCCAAGGTTTGTCCCTCCCCCCACTTCCCAAGGCCACGGTCAGGTCGGCCAGGGGCTCGCTCAGGTGCTGTGGAGGCCAACGCCATGCCCGTGGCTCCAGGCGGGAGAGGGGGCTAGAAGCTGTGACACCTCATTTTAAGGGGCCACCCATTAATTAATTAGGCCCAATGAATAATTCATGCTGCCTTGGGTATATTAATAGCATATTTATATGGCGTGCTATGGATAGTATACATTCTCGTCTGAACACTTCACAAATAATTCATGACCCCGCTCCTTTCCTGGGCTCCGGGAGAACCTGGCCAGTGCTGAGGCTAGGGCTCGTGGGTTGCTTCCAACAGCCAAATTTTGCATTTCATTATAAATGGCTTTGCTGGGCATGTCGGTAACTTTTACATTTCCATCCACTTTATTATTAATGGCTTTCCTGAACTGTAGCAGCCAGGCGTCGCGCACAATGCGTTATAAATATTTGATCCAGCATCTATAGCCCGCCATTTATCATTTATAACGGGTTACAAAAACATTATAAAACATTTACCGCACATTTATAGATCATTTTCGGCTACCACGATGATGTGTTATAAATACATTATTAATCCTCCTCACGCCATTTATAGGAGCCTCTTGTAATGAGGCCCAGCCCGCCCGGCCCCTGGTAAACAGAGCACACGCAGGGGCTGGTGGGGGCGGCCAGGCAGCAGCACCCGGCCGGCCGACGACGGAAGCCCGGCCCCGCCTCTGATGGCTGTGCGTCCTTGGCCGGATCACGGCACGTCTCTGTTCACGGAACAGGTCATTTATTGAGCACTTTCCGGGTAGGACGC